AATATACAAAGGCTATAGCCTTTGTGTTTTTAGCGAAAATTGATGGGTCCGGATTTCGACGGAAAAGTAGTCGAATCGACAGAGGTGAACCAGGGGACCACAAAACTACTTTTGGTTCCGCCAGAAACAACCCCTGTTCAGAGAAATTTGAGTTTTAAGGGGTGGTCTTTTGAATCTGGCGCTCACTGAAAAAAAGGACTAGTAACAGATACCAGACAAATCCTAGTTAAATGGATGCTAGTTATTACAACTAGGATAATACTAAGCATTACTAGAAGTTTAGTATCGTATACTAACACAGGTTTAGTTTCAGGAACCAGCCGTCTAGTAACTGAGTCTGGTTAGGTTTACTAAACTGTGTAGTAATTTTTACCAGACTGCACGTTTACTAGGCTATGCCTGTGGTCCGGCGGCGGTGGCATCACACTCGTTACGCACGCCTCCCTCCTCAGGTAGTCACCGTAGCCGAGTGGACTAGGGTGCGGACTTCCAAGTCAAAGGTTCGCGGTTCGAATCTCGGTCAGGGCTTCGAAATTTCGTGGGTTAACGAGTACCCGGTGTAACCGTAGTACCGGGTAGACATCTTCTTTATTGCATTCGTATATTTTTTGAACACTTTTTGGAAAGAAAATGTGTGGTATCTGTAAGTAAGCAGTCTGGTAAACGGTACTAGGAATCGTAAAAATGTGCAGTATCTGTAACTAGACATCTGGTAAATTTTACTAGACTTTGTGTTACTAGCCTGTCTGGTACCTTTTACTAGATTCCTAGTTGGTTCCTATTTTACTAGGCTGTCTGGTACGTGGTACTAAGATCCTAGTAACTCCTACTAGTATTTTTTTTCAGTGCTCTAGGCGGTCCAAGAAAAACAGGCGTAACTCACTTAAAATGGCCCGGCGGCGTGAAATTTCGACGGAGATATTGAAAGAGGATCCTGTCGGACAAGTCCCGACCATTTCCAGCGATTTTCAAATTTTTCAGGGTATAGCCTTTGTGTTTTTAGCGAAAATTGATGGGTCCGGATTTCGACGGAAAAGTAGCCGAATCGACAGCGGTGACCCAGGGGACCACAAAACTACATTTGGTTCCATCAGAAACCACCCCTGTCCAGAGAAACTTGAGTTTTAAAGGTGGCCTTGTGAATCTGGCGGGCAGCGTACGACGGGCTGCCTACCTCGCAGGCGAACCGATCCACGAAAAACAGAGGTAAATCACTTAAAATGGCCCCGCGGCGTGAAATTTCGACTGAGAGTTTGCAAGAGAATTCTGTCTGACCAATCCCAACTATTACTAGCGATTTTATTTTTTTTCGTTTTTGGCAAAATTTACAAAGCTATAACTAGCCTTTCTGTTTTTAGCGAAAATTGATGGGTCCGGATTTCGACCGAAAAGTAGTTGAATCGACAGAGGGGTGAAACAGGGGACCACAAAACTAACTTTGCTTCCGCCAGAAACCACCCCTATCCCTGTCGACAAAAACTTGCGTTTTGAAAGATAGTCTTTTGAATCTGGCGCGCAGCGTACGATGAGCTGCCTACCTCGCAGGCGAACCCACCCACGAAAAACAGGCGTAACTCAAAGGCCCGGCGGCATGAAATTTCAACTGAGAGATTGAAAGAGGGTGCTGTCGGACCAATCCCAACCATTTCCACATCTATTTTTTTTTTTTTTTTTTTTTTTCATTTTCTGCTGTAGTGTGTCAAAAGGGGAGTCTGCCCCACCAATCCAGGCCAATTTCATCCTAGATTTTGACGGGGGAGGATTGAAATCGTCAGGGAAGACCCAAGGCACCACAAAACCCATTAAAAACTGAACTTAATGCACACCGAAGGGAGTTTCTCATAGACTCTGAACAGAGACAAAAATTGGACCAAGTTTTGTTACTTTCATGTCAACTCACCTATACTTTTAGGTACAATGACTTCATAGACTTCTTTGCTCATGTCCTGAACATTTCCAGGCCGTGATCCTGCAATCATATTAAACGGTACTTTATGCGCTATTTTTTGAATGCTTGCTTTTATTCAATATTCAACAATCATCAACTACTAATTACATATCTATACAACACACTTTCAAAATGCCTCTCGTCCCATACTCTAAATGACCATGGCCTTTCAAATAACTAATTTGGAACTGGACTCAAGTATTAAGTGTACGTAATATATCCCTCTGCACATACTGCACATACTCCCAGATACTTTTTCCACAATTATTAGGACAGTAGTGGACAGCTGCAAATTTGGTGCAACGCACATTGACTGTTTTATTGTTTAAGGGATTACACTAATAGCTAGAGCTAAAATCCTCAGTTGACTGTGAAAGCCCACCCCAACCAGGAGTAATACATTTTGCTGTTCAACGAGAATAATACAGAGTAAAATATGTGATGTATGATACACTTGACAGTTCTCCCATTTGCAAAAGACCTACAACAATATTTCGCATACTGCATGAACAAATTTAACAGCTTTTCAGCAAAGCTTGCAGTGAGCATAGTTTACAGAACGCGCATAATTTACTCTGCCTCAAAAATAACTTATCACTTGTGTGAGCCACTGAGCACACTAACCTCCTACAACAACCGGAACAGAACATTTAAATATTCCGGAAACCACCATAAGCACTATCACTTGCGATTAATAACAAAAAGCGCCGCTGTCTACCCAAAAACTCTGATTAAAATCCTATGATAAATTTACGTCGGTATTATTTCGGTATTGATCAACAGGAGACACCGATTTACACTTGTTTATTTACGTTTCCACGAGTTGTGGGGTGGGGGTGGGGGAGGGTGGAGATGGATAGGAACCCCCCAAAAAGTTTTGCCATCATTTGATGTTGTTCCAGCACTTCAAAACGCACAAAAAAATACATGTTGTGTGAACCAAAAAAAAAGAAGAAAAAAACTAGTTCTTCAGACTTATAATTTCTTTAGCAGTCAGCGACAGCGTAGAATCATTCGTCCCCTAGGGAGACATACCTGAAGCTCGCCTCTGTAGCTCAGTCGGTAGCGCACCCGCCCAGAGCGCAGGGAGACGGCGGTTCTAAACCCCGTCAGATTGGAATTTTGCTTAGGCCGCCAAATTTCAAATGGGCTTCAAACCCGTCATTTCACCACGACCCTCTCGTGGAGTTCCGACGGCGTTGTGGTTAACGTCCTTGGTGGTACTGCGTAGAAGATGGCATATGACTCGGCTCTGGGCCGGGGTTCGACTCACGGCGAAAGCGGACCGTGGGAGTTCCCCGGTGCCTGACACCTCTGTGGTGGCGGGTGTATAATAAGACCTAGAATCTGGCTGTAAAGGAGCTCCGTGACCTGTGGTGGGTCAGTACAGTTTAAGCTAACTAACTGCGGTGGGGTGAGGAAAGTACTCCCCCATTTTTATTTTTCTCCGGGTAGGGGAAGAGGGGCGTGAGCATTTACGACGCCGACCTAACTTATTTCCTACAGTCGGTTCTGATTAAGCTGCCAATGACCGTGTCGGTTGCAGCTACAACTGTGTCGCTACAAACAAGGACGTAATCTTCCTGAATAAGAATTTAAAAAAATCTATGTTAAATTCAAACTATCTCAGAGTTCCACTCAAAGGTGCTCTGGCCCCTGTTACAGGCGGCCAGCATTCACTAGTCCAGGCATATCCCTTTGGACAAGAGCCAGCATAATTCCCTAATTAACTGTAAGACTGTACCGTACAAATCAAATGTTTAGCAGCATTACTTTAAGTGATGATTTGCCTCGACTGCCCTCATTTAAAATCAACACACGACTTAGGATCAAGTTATGAGCCGGCCTATAGGGGCGTCAGCGTGAGACAGTAGCGGGCGGCGGGCTCTAAGCCCCTGACCAATGGTGGATAGACCACCATCCCAACCCGCGTGCACTGCGTCCGCTCTTCCGGCCTACCTCCCAGGCTCTCCAACCACAAAACACCTCATCAGTTGTTATTGCTGTGTAACATTTGTTTATTCCCTTCTGATTCACAGGCTAGATTTACATATTATTTATGTTGTTTTACAGAAAAGTACCACATACTTGATACAAACAAAAATACTGCACGTAAATTTAGACATACAAGGAACCAAAACGAATTGACTGTTACAAAATAATCATAAAAACCAAAAGCGCCACTGTGTGTCAAACTGCACAAAAATTAAAGTCATGTTTACAGTCATTAATCTAAAACTATTACAAAACTTCATAGAAATAAAAAGTGCACCATGTACAGGGCAATGGCAAAGAATTAAAATCATGTTACTGTCATTGAACAAAAAAATCCATTTAAAAAAAAAATGGATTATTTATACTGACTTTTCAAACAAAATATAAACTAGATAGATAATCATATCCATTGTTGAGGTAGTTCCTTGTTTGTGTTTTCTTCATCCATCAGCCTAAGAGGAAGATGCATCTTCTTTCTTGACTGTGTTAAACACCGTAGCTCTATCACACAGTGCATCAAGTTCCTGACTAGTGTAACCTAATAAATAAAGAAACAATATAAATAATGAAAATACTGGTCGTTTCACAAATTTATTTTAAGGCAGTATACACTAGTTTACCTAAGCCTCTGCCCATATCAAATTTGTACACATCTCTTGACTTTTGCAGAAATTCAAGTAATTCTTCCATATTAAGGGACTCATGCTTGTCCAAATTTTTAAATTTTCCTGTTAGACAGAGAGAGAGAGAGTAGTAATTAAACATTCCCCACCAATGGGACCCACATTCACAACCTATCAATCAGTTCTTATTGCTTTCACCAAAACAAAACAGATTGGAAATGTACTTTAGGCCGTTCAGTGATGCAATCAAGACATTGTTAAAAAAAAATGCTGATAGATCCTGATGGGTCCCTTAAGGAAGCAATCAAAATGCTTTTAGAACTTGTCAAACTATATTGATGAAATTACTCAGCAGCCAAATTTTGCAGATCTGCTGGGCTGTGTTTGGGATTGGGTAGTGCAAAACATTACAGAATAAATTATGTGTCCTGTTGGAGAAGAACAGTAGAACTTTCCCAAAACCCAAAACCACAGAGATCGAGCAAAAATCTGGTCGAACCAAAAATTTTACCTTTGAGAACATGATACAGAGCATTAAAAAATAATTACCATGTTGAATAACAACTCTATCTAATTGCTTCTTAGTCTCAGCTCGATCTACTATGTGCTCATCAATTGTTCCTTTAACGACCAGTCGGTAAACAGCAACTGGCTTGGTTTGACCAATACGGTGGCAACGGTCTTGTGCTTGTAGGTCAACCTGTGGGTTCTAAGAAAGGAAACACCAAAATTAAGCACTGTGTTAACATTGGTTCTCCTGAGTTTTAAGAATTAGCATATGGATTTCCCTTCAAAACTGAGACTAACCCAATCGCTATCAACAATTATGACTGTATCAGCAGCCATTAAATTTATTCCAAGGCCACCAGCCCGTGTAGAAATGAGGAAAACAAACACATTGTCATCTGTTGTGAACTTTTGGATGCTTTCTTGTCGGTCAGTTAAGTCACAACGTCCATCCAATTTGGTATACAAATACCCTTTTATTTCTAGATAATCTTCAATAACATCAAGCATCCTAGTAAAAACTGAAAATATCAAAACCTGAGAGAGAAAAAAAGAAATAAACATTACAAAATAGTTAGCTAAATCTGAATTAACACAAAACACAACTTTATCATATGATTTATACCTTGTGTCCATTAGCTTTAAGACGCTGCAGCATAGCATCAAGAATCTGCATCTTTCCAGAGCGTTCTACAACCCTCTCATCAATTTTCAACATTCGAGTACCAGGTATTGCAGGATAACTGACCGTGTACGGATGAGAGCATATCATTCTTAATGCTTGCATAGGATTATCTACTTTTATTTGAGTGACAAATTCCTCATCTGGTTGTGCTAGTCCCTCTAAAAGTTTGTCTACCACTAAGTCTTCAGAACTATAGAATAATACAAAGAAGAATAATTAGGGGCATTTTATGAGTGGCATCAGAAAACACTTGAGTTATATTCTGAATTCGAACCTGTCTTGGTCATCCTTAAACTGCATTCGAATGGTATCCCTTGGTACACCCTTCTGCAGCAAATAATAGTCCCCTGGTTTAGCTGCGTACCTTCTTCGTGGTCTTTTAGCCGCCAATGTCTCAGCCTCATTAGGTTGATTTTCCTTATCATTCATGGCTTCCGATTCACTTTTACATTTCAGATTGTTTATACGAATAGCCCTTGCAAGAGCATTTGGACAATCTAAATCTTTGTTCAAGCCCTAATTCATTTTCAAATACAAATGTCACAATTAAAAACAATTTTATGAACAACTTGAACGCTGACCAGCCATTCATACTATTACCTGTAACTTCCTGAGAGTCCTATCAACAACAGCTGAATAAAGCCTGTCTTGCCACTTTGTCATTGTGGCATGTACAATAATTTCCTTCTTGAGTGGTATATTCAAGCCAACATCAGCTTTTATTCTTCGGAGAATAAAAGGCTTTAAAACCTGAAAAGAAAACACATCAACTGACGTTTTCCAGAAGAAAATTAAAAGTAACTAGATTTCACTGATAAGCTTACCTTATGGAGTGTATTGAAGGACTTACTGTTTTCCTCACCTAGAACAACATTTTCATTTTTTTCTGCTTCCCAAAGAAAAGAAGAATCAAACCACCTTAAAAATACATCAAGATCAGGAACTTTGCTTGGGAGAATAAAGTGTAAGAGTGACCACAACTCAGTTAAATTATTTTGCACTGGAGTTCCAGTAAGCAAGCAACAATTCTTGAAATTAAATCTCTCCAGTATGCTGAAAATCAGGTTTCAAAATTTTATTATAAGCTAAATGCATGTATTCACAATCAATGAAAGGTAATAAGATAAAACATCTTACTTGACAAGAAGGCAATTTGGATTCTTTAATCTTTGTCCTTCATCAACAACAAGGTATCGCCATTTGATAGAACGTAAATATTTATCATGGTGAAGGGTCTCATAAGACGTGATGACAACTGGAAATGTTTTTATTGTATTGTTCACCTTGTTCAAACATGAGATATTATCTCTCATGGCTTTTTTTGCATCTGCACTTCCATGATACAGTATGACTGGAATCTATACGGATATCATTAGTATAAATACAGTGTTGGTGACAATGTAACAATAATCTTAAAAAAACACTAACTTTTGGTGCGAATTTCTTGAATTCATCTACCCAGTTTCGCAAAGTTGATAATGGGCCAATGACAAGGAAATGATCACTTTTTCCATTGCCCTCTTCCAACAAGTAAGCTATCATAGATATAAACTGAAGAGTTTTACCAAGACCCATTTCGTCAGCGAGAATACCATTGGCATCATTCTTATCTAAAGCCTGTTGAGAGTTGTAAAGTTTGTTTTTCAAAAAAACAATCTATGATCTATAATTAGAGGTGTACAATACAACTAATAATAAATTAATAAACTCACCACCAACCAGTCTAGCCCATCAATCTGGTAATCCCGCATCACCACTCCCTCCACAAGATTTGGTTGACGCTTCGACTGAAAGACGGAAATAATGTAAAGAAAGACAACTACACAACAGAGAACCCAGGACGTAAGCCACCATGCCGCCAAACTATACCTTCCGATTCTCCTGGCGCTTGTGCACTAGAATCTTGTCCAGGATCTTGTCACTGAATTTGACAAAAGCGGCGCGAGAGCGCTGCTCTTGAGCCATCTTGAAGACAGTTTGAACTGCTGTGTTTGCAAAGTTGATCAAAAACTAGCGAACAATGCTCGGAGAAGATTCTACAGACACAGTCCTCCTCGAGATGCCTCAGCTCGACCCTCTGCAGCCTGCAAACAAAACACACAACAACTGTTTTTGTGACGTCACATTACGGACCAGATGCACCACCGGGAGCGCTGGAGAAGACCTGGTGTTTTGTTTACCTTTCATCGCTGCCGAAAAACTCAAAAGTATTGATGACCGGAACAAGTTTGCAAAATCGAGTTGCTCACGACCCCAACAAAAAAACAAACAGCGTTGATAAAGTACACGAAACTCAAGAAGAAACGAAAACGAGGAAACTGCCAAAGATTGCAGGCGCCGCGCCGACTCGACTCGTTCGCCTGGAGCGCAGGCAACCCATCGGGCACCCCCGCCGTCCCCCAACCCCAACCCACTCGGGTCGAGGGCACGACTAGGAGATTCCAGCCAAACACTCGCGCGCTTGGCTTTGAACCCTTTTGAACGGGGTTGCACCTCCGCCGTCAACCCGAATTCTTCACACAAAAGTCCTGAACCTCGCCTTATTTTATGGTCGGATGTGTCACAAGGTACCTTATATTTTTTAGGTTTCGTGCGCTCCCGAGGATGCGTTGGAGTGAGTGAGTTGATCCTGGAGGAGAGAAGGGCGCTCTTCTCTCCTGGTTTAGCCCCCCACCTCCTCCCCCTCGTACAACAAAAATGAAAGAAGAACTAATGCACTGGGGTCACCCGAGGGGTCGCTCGAGGATCACTCGCGGGCAGTCCCGCCCCACCCCGGCCCTCTCACCGAGCGTCAGGCGGGTACAGCGGATCAATGGATTACCTGCTACCTATGATTAACGAACGTTCCCCCTGTGCCCGTCTCTCACGAGAGAGAGAGAGGACGGGGGAGGGGGG